CTGAGCATTTGGGCTCACCCCGGCCCCCTATCTAGCTGGTGATGGGAAGACACTCTTACACTTCCTGGTTTTGGTTCAAGCGTCTGTTCTAAGCTGAAATTCCTCCGCAAAGGGAAGAAAGCATCCCTTGCTTTTGTCTCAAGGCCCTGAGACAGGCTGACACCAGAGAAGGGGCCCCAGCCCCCACCAAATGCCCCTCCGGTACCTGGGAGCCTCAGTCCTGAGGTCCCCACAGATCTCCCAGCTGTGGCCTGAGGAGGGGGAGTCCTGGTCATCGCCAGCGACGTCAGCACCCAACAGATCAGGGAACATGGAGGGACATGAGCTGCTTGTTCCTGAGCTCTGAGCCGTGACCCAGGAGAAAGTGAGCTGTCCCTGAGCTCAGCACCTCCCTGGCTGGACAGAGACTGCAGGAGTCACCCCACTGAGTGCCCCAACTCCCCTAGCAATGGGTGAGGAGCTCCAAGAGTCTAGCTCCACCTGCCACCCCAAAGTCCCTGGTAGCTGTGAGGATGCAATAGGTCAGTCTGACAGATCTCAGCACGTGGCAGCTGCCATCACAGCTGGAGAGGATGATGTAACTAGCTACGTTCTCAGTCACATGGCTTGGGTCTTGGGGAACAACAGCCTCAAACCAGAATTAAGCTGACAGGACCCCTGACCTCCATGGGGGCTGTGGAGTTTGAGAGCCATGGCTCTGCTGTCCAACACGGCGGCTGGCAGCCACACCTGCTGTTTACATTTAAACTTAAATTAACAGAAAATAAAACATAAAATGCCACTCTTCAGTCACACTGGCCACATTTTCATGGCTTGACAGCCACATGTGGCTGGTGGCTACCATATTGGACAACTCAGAATCCAGAACTTTTCCTTCATCGCAGAAGGTTCTATTGGACAATGTGGTGTACGTGTTTAAGTCTAGAAAGTTCCACCGGACAGAGTTAGTCTACATGTTTAAATCTAGAAGCTTCCATTGGACAGCTCTGGTCTAGGTCTTTATGTCTAGAACGTTCTCTTGGACAATGCTGCCTGCAGTCACAAAAGCTAGACCCAACAGACAGTGGCCTGTCCCCCTGGGGCTACTCCACCTTCTGCCCACAGGATGATGAATGAGGTATAAGAGTAAAATCTGCCACGTCAGGCTGCCCCTTCCAAGAAGGCAGAGGCTGACTCTGACCTCAACCACTTGGGAGATCCTGGCCAAGAGGTGGCTGTCCTGTGGCCATCGGGAACTGTCTGTGACTCACAGCAGCCAGCCCCTGCCCATCCAGCCTTCAGGAAGGGCAGTCACCAAATGCAGCAGGGGGAAAACAGAGCCCTATCCCAGCCCATCCCTGGGCACCCCAGGCAGCTTGACACACCTCCCTGGGCTGCACTTTCTGGGGAGAGGAAAGGTGGTGCTATGGTTTGAACGTTTGCCCTCCTCACGTTGAAATGCACAGCCATTTGGCCACGAGGCGACTCAGCCACGAGGGCTCCACGCTTGTGAATGGATGAGTGCCATCACTGGGAGCGGGTTCGTTAGAAAAGGGAGAGTCCCACCCCCTTTCGCCCTCTTGCCCTCCTGCCTTCCTCTCTGTGTTGATGCAGCAAGAAGGCCCTCACCAGACGCTGGTGCCTTGTTCTCAGACTTCCCAACCTCCCGAACTGTGAGCCAATACGTTTCTGTTCATTATAAGTCACCCAGTCTCTGGGATTCTGCTGTAGCAGCATAAACAACCAAGGCCAGAGGCCCATGGGGCCTTCCTGGCTCCGAACCCCCCCAGCACATGCGCTTTCTGCCCCTTCCTGTTGAATTCTCCCTTTGCAGTGATGCCTCAGATCCCACACACTGTGTACCCTCACTTGCTCATCTTCTGACTGCCCACACTCCCTGAAACAGGTGCTGCAAGGGCCGGGCCCTGCCCCCTCAGTACCAGGCAGGCAGCGATGCTCAGAGGGTGTGTGTGGAAGGAAGGGGCAGGTGCACACCAGAGCTGCAGAGACTCCCACACCCTGGGGACTGGGAGTCTCCCCAGGGAGGGGCCAGGGTGAGGGAGACGCAGACCCTTCCTCCCTCAGAGGGCTCCGGGTGTGAGCCCGAGAGGCCCCCCACACACACACACACACAAGCATGCACACACGCACACACACGGGACCCTCTCTGCCAGTCCACAGAGAACAGCTTCCCTGAAGCTGCCAGGTCTGGCTCCATGGCCCTGGAAGACCCCGTGGGCCGCGCCCCCCCCTCAGAAGCAGCCTCCAGGAAGGCTCCAGCCCCAGGCTTTGAACCCAGCCCCTGGGGGTCCACAGCCCAGGACTGAAGTCCCCTTTCCTCCCGCCAGCACTGGCGCTGCAGCAGGAATGCCTGGGGCTCCGCCCACTCCCCAAGCCTTCGCGCCCAGGATTCCCCGCTGCCAGCCGAGGAGGGTGCAGGTTGTACCTGGGGCTGCCCTGGGGTGGTGGTCCGGGGTAGGGGTGGTGGTCCGGGGTAGGGGTGGTGGTCCGGGGTAGGGGTGGGAAGGGGGCCCCCATTCACTCGGAATACACCCTCCCGCCACATCTCCCCCAGCCAGACATGAGCGTGTTTTATTCTAATGCTCAAAACCTGTTCTTCTGAAGGTAATCAACAAATAACGATGAAGCAGCAAACAGGGCCCCCAGAGTCCCCGCCTCCCCAGGGCCCCCGCCTCCCCAGCGCCCCCGCCTCCCCAGAGCCCCCGCCCCCGCCTCCTCAGAGCCCCCTCGCCTTCTCTGAGTCCCCGCCTTCTCAGAGGCCCCACCTCCTCAGAGGCCCCGCCTCCTCAGAGGCCCCGCCTTCCCAGAGGCCCCGCCTCCTCAGAGTCCGCGCGCAGTTCCCGAGGCTGCACCCGCCCCTCCGGCCGCCCCACCAACCCCCGGCCAGGACGGCCCCGCAGCGCAGCGCACACCAGGACAAGACCCTCAAGCCCAGCAGCGTCTGGGCCCCTCGTGGGCACCAGGCAGTGGGCGCTGCTCCTTGGAAACCCGGGATAAAAACACTCCGCAGCAGGAGGAAGAGTCGCATCCGGGCTGATGGGACCGTGGGGACGCGTCCCAGGAGGCGGCCTGAGCACAGCGGCCCCGGCGTGGCTGTCACGGAATAAGCTAGTGGGTCTCCACCCAGCGCCCGTCCGCGCAGGTGCGGCCAGCACAGAGCACGCAGAGGGCCCCGAAAGCCTCCAAAACCTTTAATACCGAGGTGTGGATGCTCTCCACATGGAAAAGGGTTTCTCTACCCCTCGGGGCCAAGCTCGAGTGCCAGGCAGCGAAAGGGTTTCCCGCAGACGCCCCTGGCCACCCAACCAGCCAGCCCGGGGCCTGTCCGCAGGGTCGCCCTTACCGCAGCTCCGGGGGGTCCAGGGCGCCACGGAGTCTGCCCCTCTGGCCGACGGCATCTCCCCCAGGCGCAGGGAGCCCCAGATAGGGTCCGTGTGTGAGCTGGAAAACACAGGTGCATTCGTGGCAGGGCCAGGCCCGTGGAGAAGGTGGTTGGCAGGGAAGTCTGGGGGACAGCCCCTCACTGAGCAGGAACCTGGGCTCCCGTGGCCTGGAGCAGCTCTCAGACCCCCAACAGTGTGCCCAGGGTGGGACCTGATGGCCAAAAGCCTGGTTGGGGAAGAGTCTGAGGCCTGGGGTCCAGGAGGCACGGATGAGCGGGAGGCAGGGCCGAGCGGGAGGCAGGGCCGAGCGGGAGGCAGGGGTGACTGAGTGGCAGGGGTGAGTGGGAGGCAGGGTTGACTTGAGTGGTAGGAGTGAGTGGGAGGCAGGGGTGACTGAGTGGCAGGGGCAAGCGGGAGGCAGGGGTGAGTGCAGCGAGCGGGAGGCAGGGGCGAGCGGGGGGGTGAATGGGTGGCGGGGGCAAGCGGGTAGGTAGCAGGGGTGAGTTGGTGGCAGGGGTGAGCTAGTGGCAGGGGCGAGAGGGAGGGGTCTGAGCATGTGTGCCAGCATGGCAGCATGAACCAAGGCTGCCAGCCCTCATGTGCAAAGCATGGTGCCAAGCCTGGCTGCCCGGGGCTCTACACTCAGACCCCAGGGGGAGCAGAGGTGTGGATGGCCAGCTTCCAAGGCCACCGTCAGGCCCTAGGGCCAAGATCAGTCTCCGAGGCCAGCGTGCTCATTGGGACCACCTTGGCCATCTCCTGAGGACACTGCCCACCAGGCCCAGAGCAGAACAGGGTCCTGCATCAGCTGTGGCCCTCACCCCACTGCTCAAGGCTGGCATTGGAGGCTGCAGGGTGACCCATCTGGAGAGCACCTGGGGCTGTGGCCACGGAGGCGGGCACGGCTGGACCCACACACCTGCCCCCACACAGGCCAGCCAGCATACAAGGCTGACAGAGATAGGAGCCAGGCGTGGCCGCTGGCCTTTCCCCAGTTGGTGGCTAAGAGGGAGAGCAGCAGCACTGCTGGGGTGAGGGGACTTTGGGGTACACAGAGAGACAGGCATGTGGGCGGGGCACGTGCCGAGCCTGCGTCCGAGAGCATGGCCAGTCTCACTGCACGTTTCTAATCTGGGCCTCATCTGTGCTTCCTGGTACACAGGGACCCAGAACCCACGAGATGGCTAAAGATGCTGCCCACACCTGTGTCCCAGGGGTTGTGGGAGGGGGACATGCCCTCCCCCAGCAGCCCACAGGGCCCATAGGTGTTTGTCTCACACCTGCTGTGGGCAGGGGCTGTTCGAGTCCCAGTGATAGTGGTGACCCCCCCAACCCAGCCCCACCTACATTCCCGGTGCTGCAGGGGAGCTAGACGTGTGCCCAGGCCATGAGGGGCTGCATGGCGCCCGGGAGCACAGGCCTGGAAAAGAGTGTTCTGGAACCCGGGCTGGGTGGCTGGAAGCACCTCCACCACTGAGTGCTTATGGGACAGAGAGCAAGGACCCACCCCTGACTCAGAAATTAGTTTGAGGCCCGAAAGGTGGCTCACACCTGTAATCCCAGCACTTTGGGAGGCCGAGGTGGGCGGATCACAAGGTCAGGAGTTCGAGACCAGCCTGGCCAACATGGTGAAAATACCCCGTCTCTACTAAAAATTCAAAAATTAGCTGGGTGTGGTGGTGTGCACCTGTAATCTCAGCTTCTCGGGAGGCTGAGGCAGGGGAATCACTTTAACCCGGGAGGCGGAGGTTGCAGTGAGCTGAAATTGCTCCATTGCACTCCAGCCTAGGCAACAGAGCAAGACTCCATCTCAAAAATAAAAAAAAGAAAAGAAACCAGTCTGAAAGGTGGCCGGGATCTGGGGCACCTGGGAGGCTCAGCGTGGGAGACTCGCGAGGGGGCTGCAGGTGGAATGAGTAGAGGCTGCATGAGCCTGTCCTGCAGCGCCAGCCTGTCAGGTGGTGCGTGGCAATGGCTATTTCAGAAGAAACAGGCCAGGCCCCTTTCCTGACTGCCTGAACAGGGGCGGAAGCCTTCTAGGCCCCAGCGGGCCCCTGAGCCTCTCCCTAATCCCTGCTCTCCACCAGCCTGGGTCCCTCCAGGCCACAGTTCATGAATATGATTCTGCCTCCTGCTGCCTCTCCACCGCCTTGGCAGGGCTGTGCGGCAGAGTACGCAGCCCAGTGCCTAGCTCTCGTGGGAATGTTGGTGCCAGCACCACAGGGCACCCGGCCGCACCTTGGCCCCTCTGGCTGGACCTAGGCTGGGCCAGGAACGTGGAGACCTCAGCCTGGGTCTGCCCTTGGAGGCAGATCTAGCTGGTCCCCCAGGAGCCCGAGCCACTGAAATTAACCTCTCCAAAAATTCCCACACATCCCCACTCCTTCTCAAGCACCACCCCCACCCCTTAAGGGCTGGACAGAACAGGTGGCAGAGGTGAGGGCTGGCCCGATGCTGCCCTCTTCTGGTTGCAGTGACCCAGTTCCACAGGCTGGGCAAGGCTTGGGCAGCGGGTGGGGTCAGGGGCGAGATGGGGTACAAAGCCCTGGCACAGGCACCAAGCCCACCGTCCCTGAGGTCAAGGGGGGCTTCAGGAGAGGAAACTGGTGGGGTTTCCTTGGAAGGATGGGCAGGAGAGACATCAGGCCAGGAAATGTCCCAGCTGAAGGAGAGGAGGGGTGGGGAGAGAAGAGGAGGGAAGGGTGAGCTTGGGGAGGGGCATCCCCTTCCCCCACATGTGGACTCTGAGCCACAGTCCCTCTGCCTACAATGCCCACTGTCATCCAAGTGCTATCCATGGCATCTGCCCTCACACCCTCAGCCACCCAGCAGAGGACAGCTTGGTGGAGGTGGGTGGTGTGACACAGGCCTTGGGGCCCAGGGAGCTGACGTTTCAGTGTCCCTGGTGGATCTGGTCACGTGCTGAGGAGGCAGAGGCCTTCCTGAGAGACAGCTGCCAGCCTGGCCTCCTGCCCGTCCCGCCCATAGTGCTGAGTTTTCGAGCTTGGGTTCCGGGGCTGCCTGGGGAGCGGCTGCTGAGGCCGGGCTGGGGTCCCCCACCCAGGGCGTTTCTGTCAAGGTCAAGGACAGAGGGGTGAGAGTGACCAGGAGTGGCCCAAGAACACCTGGCAGCACGTGGTATGCAGGGAGCCTCGGGGACCGGGAGGCACTGCTGGCCAGGAGGCCCTGGATCCCAGCCCACCCCAGCAAGAGCGAGAGGTTGGCCAGGCAGGTGGGCTCGGAGGACGATTTTTGGCAGGGGTGGGGAGTTTTTCAGGAGAGGAGGTCCAGAAGTGTTCACAAATCCCCAGGAGGGGCTGGAGACCACGGCTGCTGCCACGGAGGCTCAGGTGCTACAGAGGCTCAGGTAGTGCAGCCTCCATCACAAGCATCTAACTCACTTTCCACCTGCAAAGACCCCATGGACTGAGCCTGCTGGGCTCCACTTCAGCCTGGGGCTCACTGGGTGGGGCTGCAGGCGCTGGGGTAGGACAGATACTTCCCCAGGAGAAGGGAGTTGGGGCTGAGAGGGGCCTGGGGTGCGGGATGGGCACAGTGTCCCTGGGAAGGGGCTTCAGATGCATCTGTGTGACGTGATCCCAGAGAGGCCAAAGCCCGCGCTGGGGATGGGAGCCAGGAGGGGTGTGAGGCTCTGTGGACAGGGGCCCTGAGAGCTCAGGTGGGGGCTGGGATGGCGAGAAGCACCCGACTCACTGCCCCTGCACTCAGCCTGGAGCAGCAGATGAGAGGGAGCTGAAGCCACAGCATCCCCGAGGCCCGCAGGTGGACAGGGGGCATTTGTGGGGAGCATGCCTGTCATGGGGTTTCGCTGCCCCAGCCAGTGTCCAAACCAGCACCACCTGCTCCAGGTCCCTGGCCGCGGCCTCTAGACCAGCATGACGGGGACACACAGGGGTGACATGAGAGGCAGCCCCTGAGCGCAGGTGGGAGGTGGGCTTACCTCCCCGCAGAGGTGCCGAGGGCCCGGAAGGGGGCCACGCCTCTCTGCAGCCTTTTGTCCAGTTTCACGTCCACAAGTCCCTCTTCTGGGAAATCTTGGAGAAGAGGACACCTGGCTGCACTCCCTGGTCAGCCAGGAGCACGGGATGGGGCACCCAAGCCATCCACAGTAGGAGAGCTGGGGCCACACCTGACATGGGTTGGGGGTGTGGGGAACCTCCCTGGCCCTCAGGCCTCTCTGCTGGAGGTAGGGTAGAGAGGTGGAGGGAAGGAGTCACTAGAGCAGCCTCACCGTTCCTCTTCCAGAAGACAAGACAGGGGCAACAGCTGCTGCGGATGCCATTCACCACGCAAGGGAGCCCATGCACACCACGCGCCACGGGAGAGAGCCCACACACACCATGCACCACGGGAGAGAGCCCACGCACAGCACGCGCCACGGGAGAGAGCCCA